TAGCCGAGAGAGCGTGACTTAGGGTCATACGGCGAAGATCCCACATCACTCGTGGATCACGTGTTTCGGGTCTAACAACATCCACATCTGAATCGCCTATAAACCATACACTACGTTGTACGTTGTACGTTGTACAAGCTCCGTTCCTGGTAGATTTTTTATAGAGCACTGTGGGACAAACATTTAATAAATAATGTTACACGATATACTAAATTTGTATACTAGCATGAAAGACAAAGTATTGAGTTTTTATTTTTGTTGTGCCATGATTCAACTTACAACGGTTAGCAAAGATGTGATTTTTAGATACATAAATGTTTATCACTAAATAATAAAACAATTGACCGTCAATTATTAATAAAACAAACATAGCATCTTACAGGCAGATATACCAATAATGGAGGTTTGTATTGGGTTTCATTTGTTAAGAAATTAATATTCAATAAGCCACCATATCAACTATGGAGTTAAGCATGAGTTTATCATCCCCGACACCTAAATTCTAGGGATTGTAATCGGTTAACGGCATATTGTCTAGAATTTTTGTTTGGATTTAGAAAGATAGAGAGATCACGTTTAGGGAGATTTAATCTGTATTAATTTTTATAGGTCATGTCTATTCACAAACCTATCGTTCGTGGAATTGAAGTTAAGACATCAATGTGTCAATATGCTAGTATCGATTATGAATAATCTGCAAAAATATTAATAGGTTTATACACTTGGAAATAAACAAAAATTAATAACCTATGTTTAAAGAAATTTTATGTAATGCCTAAATTTTATGTAATGCCTAAATTTAATGAGCATGGGTTTAGAGTTGATTATAATACATGTATTACTGTATGTATTAGTGATGCAGAAGAATCGTTCCAATGATTTCGTAACTTGCCGTAACTATATTACTGTACTTCTATAGTTACGGCAAGTTATGACAATCATTGGGACAATTATTCTACATTACTAGCATGTACACAAGAACTTTTTATGTACAAAAAAATAACCGTAGCACTCTCTGTAACTAAACAATATGCACTGCGATGAGAAAGCTCTTTCATTCAATTTTGTACCAAATAAACTTACAAAATTTAATCTAGATTGAAATGAGTAATGTCTTCAATAATATTCCAGGCTGTGTGGTCTAAAGTACCCTAATGTAACAATATTTATTGGAGTATTTCGGAAGCATCGATAACTTAACTTTATTATTAGTAAGTATATGTAGCCTTAACTAGAAACACTGGTCGCACCCAATACTGTATGCATTTGCATGAACAAATAAATATTTTACATGAGTTTACATGGAGAGTACTTAAGATTGTGACTTACGATATTGATGAAATTTCGTTTCACTTATACACTGTATTACCCATTAATTAACAAATTTATATTAAAAAAGAAAGCTTACTTTGTGAAACGGAAATTTCCAAATGTTTTATTTAAAATTAAATTACGAATTCAATTTTTTTAATATCTATGTTTTCCAGAATACCATTGTTTATCGTAACACAATATCAAATTTTAAATTAAATGCATCATAACAGTTACTATTAAATGTGCAATCTTATTTCAATCTTAAAACTGCAAATTTAAGTAATTTTAAATATGTTGACTACAAATTTCAACGACGTATATTCTCCATTAAGCATAATTTTTATTTTGTCGCAAAATTTTCTTAATGTTCGTTCGTTCAGGCCTGAACCACGCGGGGGGCATATGGCGACGCTGGTCAATAAAAAAATAATTTATATGGGAGGCTCAAGACCCATACCCAAAACTTCATCTGCATGGACACCAATTCATCAGTTCAATCTATCAGACGAGGTGTTCTCTTTGGATCTTTCTTCACCATTTACCGTTGACTCGCCTCCGTTCACAGATCTTTCTGCAACTTCAAAGATGCCATTCGGTGGGGAGAAGGGAAAAACAGTATTAGGAACGAGTAGTATACGAATTTTCCTTGTCGGAGGGGTTCAGCAGAATATGGCAACATTTGCCTATAATGTGACAAATTCAAGCCTTTGGATTTATAATGTAAATTCACAATTATGGGACGTTCCTGGGCCAGGAACTAATGGACCACCACTTCCCATGCGTAGATCCACTGCAACCGTTATTGATAAAAACGGTATGATTTACATATTTGGCGGAAGGGTGGAGGTGGACACTGGCTCAGACGTCTTCACAATCTTCGATGACTTTTTCACATTTGACACTTTATTATTAAAGTGGACAAACCTTACATCACTTCCGAACCATCCATATAAACGCAGTCATACAACAACTACTCTAATGCCTGATGGAAAAATTATTTACATTGGGGGTGTTACTCAATCCATTCCCGGTCAAACTGGAAATCGTATAAGCATGAATGAAGTGAGTAACTAATCCTGAACTTATAACATAATGTGGTATTGTTACGAATAACTATATGAATCTATCTTGGTCGTTAAACTAAGATATTGCACAATATCCACACTCATGGTCATTTCTTTTATATTGATTTACACATCGTCATTTTACTATAAAAATCTGTTATTTTTGATATAGATATATGTTTTTGATACTATTGCGTCATCCTGGTCGCTGAAGGTATATATAATACCTTCATATAAAATTTTAATTCCTTGAAATTTTTAATAATTATTTATTTAGTCTGCTGTAGGGACTGTCGATCCTCGTGTTGGACACACCAGTATTTTAGGTAAATTATCATTATAAAGCTTATTTTTGTATCTATAATTTTTAAATAACTATAACTAATAGCTATGTGATTTCAAAGCTCCAGATAATTCCACTATAGTTATCTTAGGTGGAACACAAAGCTATGCACTTAATCAGACTACAGCATATCCGGTTTTTGTATTGCTGGATGTCAAATCCGAACCATTTCAATATTCAACCCCTCAACCTTCTGGAGTATCTCCTCCTTCATTAGCATTTCATACAGCAACTCTCTATAAAAACTATATGATTGTTGCATTTGGTAATAATTTACATTCATCTAATAATATATATTATAGGTCATATATTTTTCATAGGAAATCTGATTACGATTTGCTATATTATCTATACAGCTTAAAGCACATTTTCAAAAAAAAAATCACACAGATTGAACAAAATTGATGGATAAAATAGTTTCATCAAAATTATAAGATGTTATTGCCGAAATTAATCTCAAAATTCTTTTTGGCAAAGTTAGCTTAATAATGTCAATGTAAGAATGGAGCTACTTTATTTTGTCAATTTTTTTTCTAAACAGCATTATTAATTTTTGGTAATGACATCCTGTAATTTCAGCAAACCTATTTATTTGTTATCTGTTCATTTGACATGATTATTATTTTTATAATATGAGTGTTACTAAGCGAAAATCTGTGTGTGCGAATTTAAATTTTCGCTATGTAGAATTTAAACTTTGAAAATTTAATAATCAGTAATATCAAATTATTTTCAAATTCGGTATAGTTAAAATTTAAATTCGTACTTACAGGTTTTCCTTGACAGTACTTTTAATACAGGATTAATAGAAATCGATATAAAATCGTAACAATTTTTTCTATGTATCTAAAAAATATAAGTTAATCTACCTACGATACTAAAATTCATATTTAACGAATATTTTTTTAAAAAATAAAATTATACATACATATAGGCAACATCACCAACGACGCAGGACCTCCAACTAATACATCGGCTGATGTATATCTTATGGATCTTTCAAATTACACGTGGGTTACACGATTTGACAATAGTTCTACTTCTACCACTAGTAATAATGGTAAATTGGCTATTATTATTTGTCCTATTATAATTGCCCTTGTCATTGGCATAATAATATGCTTCAAACTTTATGGACGAAAAATGTATGAGTCTTCTATTAAAGTGATCACTAGACGTACACGCCCAGAACCACTCCCAAAACCACCCCAAGAACCACTTGAATAATTAACAATAAAAGAAATGTTTAATTTTAAAAACCAACTTTACATTACATTGGTAATTCATATAATTTATATTTTAAGCTAAAAACTGACTATATTTTTTGTCTATATCCTACACTTGTCTTATAGAACAAACTAAATTAGTATTAAACGTTTAGAAAAATTCATAATACAAATGTAAGCAATTGTAGCTTTAAGGAGAATGATCATAAAAGCTGCTGTGATGGTATAATTTATAACAATGAACATTAATTAAGGAATATTATTGAATAAATAGTCAAATATTTCGAAAATAATTATCACTTTTTACATTATTAATTTATGTAATACTGCCTTTGAAATAATTTCCATTTAATAACTCTATATAAGAGATCTTAGTGATTTTATACTATCTGAATCAATATTCAAAGATTTAACTAACTTTTCAAAAGAGGATTTATATTCACTAACTACACGTGAGAATTTATCTTTTGATCCTATTAACAGTAGATGATTTATATCTGCAAAGGATTTTTCGTAGTTTTTTAACCTACAATAAACCTGAACTTGACATTTTAATATATCTCATTATAATTCATTTCTAAAGATTTATTTAAATCCACAAGAGAATCTTCATAATTATTTAGCATAAAATGTGTTTGTCCTCGCAGGCTTAATATTTTCGCATTATTTGATTCAAATTTTGCCGATTTATTTAAATCTTCAAGAGATTTACCGTAAAACTTTAATACATAATACGTTTGTGCTCGGGATCTCAGCGCAAATTGATTATTTGGTTCTATAACCAACGATTTTGTCAAATCTTCAATTGATTCGTTATGTTTCCCTAAATTATAATGAACTACTCCTCGACATCTTAGGGACTCCGCGTTATTCTGGTCAATATTTAATGCATTATTTAAGTCATTAAGCGATTTTTCGAATTTACTGAGCATATAATATGCTTGTGTTCGCGTTTTTAATGCACTAAAATTTCTTGGCTCAAGGTTCAGTAAATTTGTTAGATATTTTGTCGATTCTTCGTATTTTTCTAGTTTATAACAAGATTGTCCCAGAATTTTTATTGTAATTGTATTTCCTGAGTCAATTTTTAATGAATTTTCTGAATCTTTGAGGGATTCTTTATATTTTTCTAACTTAAAGTAAGTCTGTCCCCGATATCCTAATGTCACTGCATCAATCGGATTAATATTTAGTACTTTAGAAAAATCCTCGAGAGATTCTTTATAGTGCTTTAATTTATAGTATGTTTGTCCTCGACTTATTAATGCAATTGTATTATCCTGATCAATTATCAATGAATTGTTAAAGTCTTCTAGAGATTCTTGGTAGCGTTCTAGCCTATAATATGTTTGTCCTCGAATTCTTAATGCAAATGCATTATCTTTCTCAAATTTTAATGACGCCGTTAAATCATCAAGGGATTGATCATAATTTCCTAAACAATAATGAACTTGTCCTCGAGATCTTAATATATATGCATTACACCGAACTAAATTTAATGCTTTTGTCAAATCTTTAAGTGAATCTTCATATCTTTTAAACATAAAATATGCATTTCCTCGAGTTTTTAATGCTTCAAAATTTTCTGGATAAATTTCTAATGAACTCGTTAAACTCTTAAGAGATTCGCTAAACATTTTCAACCCATAATAACTTTGTCCTAGAAATTGCAAAGTAATTGCATTGCTAGAGTTTACTTTTAATAACCTTGTTAAATTCTCACAAGATTCGTCATATTTACTTAACTTAAAACAAGAATAACCTAGAAATCTTAGCGAATCTACGCTACTATGATCAAGCTTTAACGATTCAGTTAGATCTGAATAAGATTTATCGTAGTTTTTTAATATATAATATATTTGTCCTCGAAAGCTTAATGCAACTGCATTATTTGAATAAATCTCCAAAGATTTATTTAGATCTGCAAGAGAATCCTCATAATTATTTAGCATAAGATGAGCTTGTCCTCTCAAACAAAATGCTTTTGCATGATTTGGTTCATCTTTTATCGATTTATTTAAATCCTCAAGAGATTTAACATAGAATTTTAACTTATAATACGTTTGTGCCCGAGATCTTAGCGCAAATGGATTATTTGGTTCTATAACCAATGATTTTGTCAAATCTTCAATTGATTCGTTATATTTCCCTAAATTATAATGAACTACTCCTCGACATCTTAGGGACTCTGTGTTATTCTGGTTAATATTTAATGCATTATTTAAGTCATTAAGAGATCTTTCGAATTCACTGAGCATATAATATGCTTGTGCTCGCGTTTTTAATGCACCAAAATTCCTTGGCTCAAGGTCCAGTAAATTTGTTAGATATTTTGTCGATTCTTCGTATTTTTCTAGTTTATAACAAGATTGTCCCAGAACTAATGATGCAATGGTGTTTTTTTGATCAATTTTTAATGAAAATTCCGATTCTTTAAGAGCCTTTTCATAATAATTCATCTTATAAAAAGTAAGTCCACGGCATCCAAAAGCAATAGCATTGTTCGGATCAATTTCTAATGATTTAGTTAAATCTACAAGTGATTCTTCGAAACGATTTAGCATGTAGTACGTTTTACTTCGAGATATCAACGTAGCAACATTATTAGAATTAAGCTCTAACGATTTATTTAAATCAGAAAGAGATTCCTCATAATGCCCTAACATATAAAGCACATCTCCTCGAAATCTTAGTGTTTCTGAATTATTTAAATCCTCTTTTAATGATTTATTTAAGTCTGCGAGTGATTCTTCATAACGGTTTAACATGTATAATGTTTGTCCACGAGATCTAAGCGCGACTGAATTATTTGACTCAATTATTGACGATTCAGTTAAATCTACAAGTGATTCTTCATAGCGGCCTAGTGTAAAATATATTTGTCCTCAAGTCATTAGTGAAGCCAAATCGTTATTAATAATACTTAATAACTTGTTTAAATCTGCAAGCGATTTCTCGTATTTTTTCAGTTTAAAGTTAATCCTCGATATTTTAATGCATCTGTATCATCTGGATTAATTTTTGATGATTTACTTAAAAGACTGAGAGATCCTTCATAGTTGTTCGCCTCATAAAAAATTAGTCCTTGAACCCTTGCATCTAGCATCTTCTGCGAAGAACGCGTGAAGTTGATTATTGATCTAGATAAAGATTTTTTTGATGAGCTAGTTTCTCTAAACATCTGTGAACTGTTATTCGTTAAAATAGGTACAGGTCGCTGATTAGTATTTATAATAAATTCAACACTTGTTTCTTTTGATATTTTATCAAGAGTCGTCAAAATTTCGCTAGGCGTCGGTCTTCCCTGCGGATCACTATCCCAGCATTTTTTATAAAGTTCTGAAAATTTCGATGGTGTTCCAGCAATTGTTTCTTCCCGAAGCCCTTTTGATATATGACAACAAATGGCTAATTTATTGTCAAAACTCCCAAACGAGGCGGTTCCACTTGTAAGTTCCCAGAATATTACGCCCAAACTATAAATATCTGACTTTTCGTCACGTTTTTTGCCAACTTGCATAAAGTATTGCGGATCAATGTGAAGTTGAGATTGAAGAGATCACACTATCGTTTTCTTTTCTTGATAAACCAAAATCCGCAATTAAGAATTTTCCATCGTTTATTAAACCATTTTTAGGATGCTAAATAAATTATTGAATTATCAATTTAAATATTTTGCAATAACTGATAATAAATTATAAGTCATATATTAGAAATTTTATGCTTACTAAATCACAATGAATTATCTTACTCTCATGCAAACACCTTAATCCGAGCGTGATCTGCTTTGCAATTTTAATAATCTCATTTAGTGAAATTTTGAATACACCATCATGTCATTGATCTTTTGAATATTGTCGCAAGTTTCCTCTATTAGCAAATTGCAGTACCAACATAAGATTTCCAGTTTTTGTATCTAAGGTAATTAAATTATAGTCAGAAAATATTGTCTTAGGAATAGACAAATAATAATATTATCAGTACCGATCGTAACTCCATGGAATTGGTTAAGATTAGGGTGAGACTTAATGGAACTTAGTCTCTTAAGCTACATGATACAGTATAACTTATTAAATGTAATAGAGATAAGATACTGGAAAGCGACGACGACGAATAATGTATCACCTCGATAACAAATTCTTTAGTCACTTCATTAGTATTAACGCTTTTTAATGCGACTTTTCTTCCCTCATAGTCAGCTGAATAAACTATCCCAAATCCACCTTTATGATTTTTATATTAGAAAGTAATATTTTTAATTGTACTATGTAGAATGCATCAAACAATTAGAATACTACCTTTTCCAACTTCTTTAACATTACTATATAAAGAATATTTATAAAGGGTTATAATACCATCTCTCAAAGCCTTTTCAAACCAATCCGAATATTTCGAGCTTGCTCGCTTTGTGGGAGACATTGGTTTTCTCTGCTATGCTTATCGGAAAAAAGTAGCATATCATATTATTATGTGATGTATCACGTAAGAAATAGTCTACTTATTTAATTATCGTTATGACATTTCAGAATAAAATGTAACGCATCCTTTATTAAGTTTGTGCATGTGTAATGCAAATTAAAATTACACCAAATTCATCATAATAATGTTATTTTCTTTATTTGGGATCTTTTTTAGGCACATTATTGCACAAGATTTTATGTGACATTAAAATAACACTTGTTACATTCACCATAAGTGCTTATCTAGTCCTCTACAAGATGAGTTACAAAAAATTAAAACAGTCAAACTGTGTAAGTATTATCACACGTTGAAATGTTAAATCGTTCATAATTTAAAAATTGTTTAAATAATTAACTTTTCGGCTAATGGCCTTTTTAACTTCAATCTATAATATATGTCGTTTATTTTGTTTTAAATGCACCCCGTAAATCCAATTCATGCATTAAATATAACCGTCAGACGTTGCAAAATTTAAGGGATAAAGTTTGATTTGTCTGAACCAGAACCGAACCAACTTTAGGTTAAGTTCAAGTTCAATTCGGATTTTGAACGGATCCGAACCGAACTATATGCTGAACTTTAAAGATGATTTGGATTCAGTTAGAAGGTTTCGGTTTTGTACATATCGATATCATTTTGCCAGCTCTTATCTACCGTTCAACCGTTTAAAAATTGCACCATAGTTCCGGGCAGATTTATGTTGGTCGTGGGCTGGAATTATTTTAATGCCAGCCAAATTAAACGGTTAAACGGTTAAACGATTAAAAAAATTTTTAGGTGGTTCCAATTCCTACTCTTATTCCTCTGGCAGTCCATTTTATAAGGTAACTGTTAATAGAAATGAATAACCACCGCACAAAAAATATGCGACAGATTCTAGGGATTTTAAATCAAGTTCTTTGGGACCAAGTATTAAGCTGATCCTTTCAAGGATCAGTAAGGACTATAGTTGGTGGTAGAATTATTGAATTACAGTATTACGACATTTCACCATATTGTATAATTAATACAGCGTAGTACATAATTGCTGTAAATATTATATGCCGTAATGCCGTAATATGAATAACAGTCTGTAAATGATCCCTAATGAATTTAAATTTAAAATCAATTTACATGTGATTAATACGTAATTCTATGACCATGCTATTTTGTTAATCAAAGCGGAATGCTTTTATTAACCAATTACTATGATACAGAACTTTATAAGTAATGTAAAAAGTTAAGAAATAATAATGTATTTTAAAATAAATGAGTTACTAAAATTATCTGAAGAAGAGCGCCACCTGCACCCCTAGTTGTAAGTACAACAGGGATATCAAAAAATAATTATCTGAATAATTGTGAATCTGATTCGATTTACAGGTTTTCACTGAATTCACTCATATAGTGCCTTAATACTGTAATAACATGATAAATATCATAATGCTATAATAATTGTTAGGGATGATGCCGAAATCTAATAATCTGATTGGTTGGGATTAGAGTGATTAGCCAATAGGATTTTTAGTTTTAGCATTATCTTCAACAATAATTAAGTAGCTGCATGTCATAGTCAAATCAAACCAGGACTAGATGAATATATTGTAAAATTTGTATCAATTGATTAAATTAATACTAGTATTTTATTAAGATCCTTAAAACTAAATACTTATATATATAATTATATAGAATTTTCCAATATCTAAGTTTAGCATCACTTGGCCACCCTAATAGTACCTAAGTGCAACTTGTTGCACTACTTCAGTTAAAGATAGATTGCTTATCTAATCACTTAAAGTCATACAGAAAGGTTTTTCTTTTTCTGTAATAAGCATATTAATTGTTTTCAAAGTTTTTTTTTAACTAATTTGTTTTTTTTGTTTTTTTTCACTGTTTGGTTTTTTTTTTCTTTTTGTTAATTTTTTTCCTATCTAAGCATCTTTCTTGATCTTACTTGTTATATTGATCTTTTATTTCTACTCTTACATTTTTTCACATTAGATTCTCTATATTTGGTCATAGAAAGTATTTTAACTATTCTTGTTACTATGGCTAAACATTTTTTTGTTACTTGTTTGTTTAACAGTTAGTTAAATCTTTTTCTTATTTCTATTATGATTAGTTTTTTTATTAATATTTTTCTTTTCATAACTTCTTTTTTTTTTATTTTTCTAAATAGTGTTTTGTATAATACTTATATAGTTGACTCTTTCAAAATTGATATGTATGGTGAACAGATTTTGTATCAGCTTTAAGAAGTTATCAGATTTGAAAATATAGCAAATATAATGAAAAAGAACTTGGTAAATTAATTTTTTATCAGATTTGACAGATTATCAGTTTTGACAGGATCAGTTTTGAAAAGGTTAACTATAGTAGAATTCTGTTTTTTTTTTATTTTTTAAATTTGTTTTATGTTATTACTATTAATACTTTTTGTATTTATTTCTACAAGTTTTTTTATTTATTATAGCTTACTATATGTGTTTGGATTTCTTTTTTACTACTTTGATAAACTTGTTATATATATTTCTAGTTTTTTTTATTTAACTCTACTAATATTAGTAAGCTATTTATTATATACTTGATTATTTTAGTTCTTCTTATATTTAGTTTTCTCAAAATACAGTATATTTCTTTTGTTATATATATATTTTTTCAAAAACTTGGCCAGCTATAAAATATATATTCTGTTTCTGTTTCTGTTTCTAATATTCTAATTAGTTTTGATTTTCTTTAACTGATTCTTATTCTATTATTTGTGATTATTTTACAAAATGTTTTACAAATATATTGATTTTCTTATTTTTTTATTCTAGTTAGTATTTTATTTTATTATACTTAATTTTTCTAACATGGATTATTTTTTTGTAATTTTTTCTTTCTTTATAAAAAATTTTACTGTTATTTTATTTGTCTTTACTATAATTTTTAATTTTAATTAATTCTAATTTAGTGTTTTTAATTTTGACTAGTTTTATAATATCTATTATTCATATTATATTTTTTTTTAAAGATTTTCACATTATTTATTTTTTAGTACAGCATTATTATCTATATAAATTTCTATACTTTTTTTTTCTAATAACATTAAAATTGCTATTTATATTACAATTAATTCAGCTACTATTACTAAAGACCATTCTTTTAAGCCTAATATTACTTCTTTTTTTGATTAATTATTTTTTCTTCTACTTGTATCTATCTGATATCTTTCTTTTCTATATTAGTATTTTTATTATTTTTGTATAGTACTCTATCTGTATAAAATATATATCTATATATTTTTTTTTAATTTTTATTAAACTTCTATTAGGATTAAAAAAACAAACTCTTTCTGCAAATCTATTGCACAAAAATTAACTAAAAAAACTATTTGTCTAAAAACACTTATATATTTTTATTTTACTAAAACAACCTGTTCTAGAGTCTTAAGTAAACTTGTTCAGTTCATCAATTTATATATAGTCTGAAAATATATAAATTTATCTCTTAAATTCACAGAGAAGACTGTACTGACAGCCTTTGGTCTCCAGTTTCAAAAATTTAATCTTCTTGCAATTTCTACTATAATAACTTATTTTACACCCTTAATTAAAGTTGTAGCACACATTTGCCTGATCAAAACAAGCTCTAAAAGAAGAATTTTTACCTAATATTGGCTATGATACAGCTAAATTTATCTTTTATTCTCTTATAAAAACTTTTTCTTATCTTTTGTCCTTATCTCATCTCCTTTATCTCTTACATGGTTTTCATATAACTATATTATCATTTCCTAAACTATACTTTATTAATTTACACCAAAATCCTGTGCTCCATCTATTTATAGAAATTTATTGAACACAATCAGTTACTTTCTTATTTGGTTTTTATTAATTGTACACAACAATTTGTATTACAAACCTTATTTGTATCAGTATCTGAGTCATATTGTGACCCAATTACTCTAGTTACACACCAGTATTACATCTGTAATATCTCAACTATACAACTCCTGTTCCCATCTGCTACTTTTATAAAATCATTATCCAACTATTAGAAATTTTTCTAAGTTTCTAATATAATATTTATTTAATTTATAACAAACTTCAAAAATGTCTACATTAACTAACCAAGAACCTGATACTGCAGATCTTAATTATTTCTACCAAAACTATTCTAACAGTTTTGAAATTGTCCTTTATGAAGAAGAAAATGGTAATAATGCTCATCTAATTTTTTCTAAAGTCAAACTAACTTCTTACTTAACTAAAAACCTCAGATTCAATAAAATTATTCACTTTTTTCAAACTCTCACTTCTATTTCTGTGATTAGTTGTCTTTGTGACAAATACCACACCAAATTCATCTCAACTACTAATTCTAACCATAACCAAGCTACTGAATTCACTACAGTTCATGTTAATAGCAATATAAAAAAGAATCTTAACAAACCAGCTCAACAACTCCTAACTAATCTCTTCTTTTCAACTGACAATATTTCTCCATCTCTCATTTCTGATATATATAATTATACCTGCCTTAAATGTTCTCTTTCAATTAGTTATACAAAGAGAAATGATTATTATTATTCAAATGAAAAATATGTTACTAAAAACAATGAAGTCTATTATCTTACCTGTATGACTGCCTTATCTCAACATGAAGCTAGCTCATCTCAAACCAAGAAAAACCTTACTCAAACCTTTCAAAGCATCCTATATGAATCCTCTTATATTACCAATCCTTTTACTATCTTTTCTTATCAAACCTCTACTTTCTCTAATCTTATCGACTTCTTTTTTGCTACAACAATTAATAACAACTCTATCTCTAATCAACCTCCAATTACTAACATTCTTGACAATACTAATTTAAATCTAAATAACTCTAATAATACTAACCCATCTGATAGTACTTCTAACAAACCTTCTCTTCAAACCTACTCTAGTATTGCTAAACCAAAATCTAATCTTATATATGACTGGCTTGCAAAT